ACAGAAAAGATCCCAAATTGCCTTTTGTGATAATGCACTGGAATGCAAAGAGGGTCAGCAGCAAGCAGGCTGGCTACAGCAAAAAGTTGGAGCTGGAAAACATACTGTATGAAAAGCATGTCAGTGTATGCTGCATCAAAGAAACCCATTTGCAAGCAGATCAGATCTTTCAAGTAGAAGGCTACCAGTACTTCGGACCAGATAGTCAAGGCAGGCGAAAAGGAGAAGTGCTTACCCTTGTTAAAGATAGTACGCATTCATGTGAGAAGATCAGCGTCTGTGGCTTAGGCATTGCTAACGCGCTTTGTAATGCCGGGGCCCCAGGTTCGATCCTAGCAAAGGTTTCGACAGTGGTAATGAGAAGCCGATCGTACAGAAAGCAATAGCAAACTACTGGACGTAAATTTGCCTAGAAAAAAACCACAACAGCCAAATCAATGCTGGTGTTGGTTCTGCAGTGTCCTGTAAAGGATAAGCAACTAACGTGTGAGAAGATTTATATAGATGGAGTTGAGTACCAACTTCTGCAACTTAAAATAGACAAAATGGAATTAGACCTCCTCAACTACTACTGTCCCAATGACAAATCGTTAAGTCCCAGCTCTATGTCCGGTACCACATACCAACTTTATTGCAGTTGGAGACTTCAACAGCCATTCACAGAGCAGGGGCTATTACCATCTTGACAAGAGGGGTGAAGAGGTGGAAACAAGGCAAGATGGCCACTCTCTAATCCTGGTCAGTGCCCCCTCAAATAGTCCTACCTTCTACTCCAGAAGGTGGTAGACATCGTCAAATCCAGATCTTACCTTCTCTACAAAGATATATCTGGAAAGAACGAACGAACGAACTTTATTTTCAAACGGTCACAAACTGTGCCCGTCTTACTTTCGGTCCTTTCAAGTGCATATCTTTCACACAGCAGCTGTATTTTATCAACAAATGCATGTTATGAGAGATAATGCTGGATGGGCTGAAAGGATGGCATGGACGGATATCATCAAGAGAGTTGTTCCAGGCAACCAGAGATTGTGATTGTCACAACCCTGTGAGTACAGTCAGTGGCGGAATGGACCACACCGTAGGGTGTAACCGTGTTCAGGTGACACCCCAGGGTTGACACAAAGGTCAGTGACGTGACTGGCCAAGTCTGTGCTGTTTGCACGGTGAAACTATCGCTCAGTAGAAACCACTTGGCCACGACAAGAAAGAGTGAACTCTGTTGCAGATAAGTTCCCAACACGATTACCCCTTTGGGGACTGAGCATTTGAACGGGTAAAAGGACACGAGGTGAAAGAACACATGAGATTGGGTGTACAGCGTTCGGACCGAGCAGACATGTTAGCGAGACAGTGATAGTATGTTAGAGTTAGGATATTTCTTTAGTGACTGCATAGATTATTTACAGTGTTCTGTTAGAATAGAATAGTCTTTTGTGCTGTGTATTTAACTGGTACAAGGTATTGTGTTGTTTCACCATAAGTAAGTTGTGTCCAGTTACTGCTGACCAGTTAAATCGGTTAGGTACATGTTCTGTGAGAGAATGTCTAACTTTGTCACGCTGACCCTGCACTAGACAGAGGCGGTGACATCTTGGTAGGTCAGTGTGACGATAGAAAAGAACGTATCTCGCCTAGCTGTGGTTTGTGCACCAGAGATTGCATGTGGAACTGACTGGAGAGCGAGGCGATTGTAAAGCTCGTTCGGCCAGAGGGTCCAGGCAATAGGTGGCCACACAGCGGGAAGTCAACTGTCTATTGTATTACCTGTAATTGCAATAAAGATTGTCGTGTGTGCTCTGTGTGCGTTCGTGTTCAGTGTGTGTCAAAGGTTAGTTTATCTGTAATGGGCCCAGTTACGAGCCACGGACCAGCAAGGTCACCCAGAGGTCTGTGACAGTGATCTGTGGAGACGCACGAGCGCCTACGCCAGTTGGCAGGGCACATGATGATGATATGATCATATAATAATATGCATATTACGAATATCACGAAAAAAAATGGTGGTAAAATGCATGGACACACTCGCGAGCGCACTCAGGCAAACACACACAGACAAACAAACACACACACACACACACACACACAGAGATGGAATGATAAATAAGGATGTGGGAGACCAACTAGGGAGCAGTGATCATCTCCAGATTTTTTTACTATCTATCTAGAATGTCCAAAATAGGGACATGGATGCTATAGTACAAGATCTCAATAGAAGCATTCTTGAAACGACAAAAGAAGCAATCCCCAGAGGCTGTCGACACAAGTACAGACTTTAATGGCCTAGCACACTCCAGGAATGCCAGGAAAGAATGAATCAAGCTAGAAAAGATGCAGAATGCCATCCTTTACCTGACAACCACACCAAATAGGAAAAGGCTGTAGCAGTGTTCTGTAGAACTTAACTTGAAGAAAGACCAGAAAGCAGCTCTAAACCTTAAGAAAGATGGCAAAAAAACTCTGAAGATTAGCTAAATCATTCAATGAAGAAAGTTTCTCTTCTTGATAAACAATCACACTGAATGAAGGTGACAAAATCTTCGGAGGAAAACAAGCTGCAGATTTGTTTGCCAGAACATATAATGTTGAAAGCAACGTGACCCTTAATGAGGACAACTGGAAAGAAATAAGGAAAAAATACAAACAGATGAGAGACAGTCAGATATTTGAAACTCAGAGGCAAGAGTTAGGAAGTAAGATTGTATTTTCAGTGATTGAAGTTGCTACAACTACTGGTTGTAACTACAGCTGTTTCATTAGCAGTGATTTTTTCAGTGATTGTGCTAGGACACTCTTGGATATTGTGAAGGCACTGGAGCTCAGTGTTGGACAGTTTCCTATAGACTGTTTTCTTAATAAGGATTATTTTCTAGATAAGGATGTGCGCTGCATGAAAAATGCTCAACAGCAACCAAAGATGTATTAGCCTCTTTGATAGAGCCCTTTCACCATGAGTGAACTTCAAAATGCCATTTCCGGACTTAAGTTTAAAATGTTTTCAGGTCCAGATGAAATCAGCAATGAAATGATGATCAATCTGTGCTCAGCAGCTAAAGTAAAGTTGCTGGAAATTGTCAACATCAGCTGGGAGAAAGGATTGGTGCCTCAAGTATGTCCCTTCCCTTGAGGGTTGAGTAATGACCAGATCCCCCGGTCACTCATCGCAGCGCGCTGTGCTCTTCAGACCTTGGTGATGCGTTTCTCCATCTAGAGATGCACGAACAACGGGCTGGTAGAATGCACAAGACAAGTGTATAGGAGTCGCAACCATTTTTTTTATCGCAGAGACAGCACCTTATTGATTCATTGGTATGCTGGTCGTTCTTGCACAAGGGCATGGCTCACTATCTAGAACACAGTGACCAGAGAAGTCAGCGAGGAAACAACACGCCCAGAACTGCTGCACTACTGCGGGCAAACAACAGCGCAACGGGTCCAGATGGCATACGATACGAAGACGTGGGCAAATTTTCTGCAAAGGAGCTAGCGGAACTGGCAACTGTTTACAACAGCATTTAGAGCGGAAAAATCAATGAAGAGTGGATACACACCTGCTTAATATCTCTGCCGAAGCCTGGCAAAGACCACACAAAGATCCAGGGATACAGAGTCATAACAATGCAGAACACGATAGGAAAGCTGGTGGAGAAGATTACTGCCAAAAAAATATCCTGTCGGCTCGAGAGGCAAGTTGTCCTTCCACCTACCCTCGGTGGCTACCGCCCTAGCAGAGATACTTGGAGCAATGCTTGTGTTTTTGCCCACGACGTATATGAGATGTTCCTTTTAGGCATTGAAAGTGCGGAAGTGCAAATCGATCATTACGGTCTGAGGAGAATGGCCCTGCGAAGAGTTACTAGGGGATCTGGCCGACGCTCAACACTTAAGGGAAGGGCGATATACAATCACACAGCTACTGGTGCGATCGGAATCAGAACTCTTCGTTTGCTGCTGAAGATGGGGACGGGGCGCTTATGGGGGTGTCCCGAGTGCTATGATGTCGATTCTTAATTCAACATTCAACCCACCGAGTTCCGATTGGTCTATAAAACGTAGGTCTAGTCATATGTGTCCAGTACACCTCAAAGATGTGGAAAAGGGCCCTTTACTTTATTATTGCTACTAACATAACTACTACTACTACTACTACTACTACTACTACTACTACTACTACTACTACTACTGCTACTACTGCTACTGCTACTGCTACTGCTACTACTACTACTACTACTACTGCTACTGCTACTACTACTACTACTACTACTGCTACTGCCACTACTACTACTACTACTACTACTACTACTACTGCTACTACTGCTACTACTACTACTACTACTACTACTACTACTACTACTACTACTACTACTACTGCTGCTACTACTACTACTACTACTACTACTACTACTGCTACTACTACTACTACTACTACTACTACTACTACTACTACTACTACTACTACTGCTGCTGCTACTGCTACTACTACTACTACTATTACTACTGCCACCACTACTACTACTACTACTACTACTACTACTACTACTACTACTACTACTACTACTACTACTACTACTACTACTACTACTACTACTACTACTACTACTACTATTATATTGATTAGCAAGAAAATGTATCCACTTTTTTAAGAAAGCGCCGCTGTAACTACATCGGCCATGCACTCAGCAAGACTCCCCCATCAAACCCTAATATGACACCGGTAGGGAAAAGATAACAGGGAAAAAAAAGAAAGACCCTGCGAAGAACCATCATCAGGGAAAGCTCAACCATGGGCCTAACAAACGTCCAAGACCTAAAGCAGGTGGCAACAAACCGGTAGACATGGAGAGTTAACCAGCTGTACTTAAGAAACGAAAAAAGGAGACAGGCACGAGAACGAACAGGAAGTGGCCGTTGTTAACATGGCTTACCCAGAATCCCCTTAATCCAACACTTCAAAATAGTTTGTCTTCTGGAGCCGTGTGTCGCCGATGAATTTCCCCAAAATGCAGACTGTTCACAGTCTGGAGATCATCAAAGTCTCCAAAAGTTTGGCCGACCTCAACGATTCTTCTACCTGTAGCAGACACGAGAAGAGCCTTGGACTCCTGACGACGAGGTTTGTCACTTTGCTGCAAGAGGCGAAGGACGGGGTCTTGGATTTGAAAGTTGTGAGTATTGGATTACCTTCGATTAAAAGCTCAAGTGAAAAAAATTAAGACACATTTCAATACATGACATTGGAGATAATGCACCCCTTATGTTTCTTGTTGAATATACAAATGTTCTGAGTAGGTGCGTTGTTCTTCACATTCACCGACTCTTAAAGTCCTGATTCACTGATTGATCACTGATTGTTTTGTTCGTCTATATATACAATTAATATATTATAATATTACTATTTTATTACTTGTTCAAGAGATTGAATTCTTTCTGCATATGCATATGCAGACAGTTTGTTCCTCGCCTTTTAGTTTTAGGCTTAGTTTAGTACTTGTTATGCAAGCAGTGGGTCTGTTCTGATTTTCCCACAAATGTGACAAATGGAGCCCCATAACCCACAGGGACGTTACATTCAGTGAGTATTACCTATTACTATCACACTTGTTGATGAACGTTAACACTTTCCTGATCAGCAATCCGGGGATTTACTGTCTCCCATTACCAAGCGGTGTTTAGAGATTTTCTTCAAAATGACTGGTTTTCTTTTAAAAAAAAAGTCATAAAAAATTCAAACTAAACTCTTCAGAGCATCATTATAAATGGTTGCTTCACATGACAAAAGATATATTATGCAAATATGTCACATAATTATGGTGGACATCTTGAATTTGTTTCGCTATTTATATAAATTTCAGATGTTTTAAAACTATCTTTATCCAAGTTCTTACAATTTGTTCAATGTTGGAGAAATGGTTGGCAATGAATAAAATTTGCTAAATAGGAGCAATTTTTGGCTCTCCTTGCACTTTTGGACGCTAGCTGGACGGCTTAGGTCGGCTTAGTGGGAGTTCTCTCACTTGGACGCATTGACAACAACGAGCGGGAAAAGTCACGAATCAAATGACATACTTACCTATCATCATCCGGGTGCGTGTAAAGTTGCGTGGTCATCATACGGTTGCGTCTAGGGTTACCTATCATCATACGGTCGCGTGTAGGGCTGCGTAGGGTGTCTATCACCATCATACGGTTGCGTGTAGAGTTGCGTAGGGTGTGGGTTGGGGTTAGGGGTAGGGTTAGATGTGAAAATGGTGACGTAGAACGTCCAAATACTGGGCGACAATCTGATGCTTGTGGGAGTGGCGCCACTGGAAGTGTTCCAAATATGACGGCAATAGCGCGCGGCTGGTACCCAATCAGTGGCGAATTGTCCGTGTCAGTAGCATCCACCGTCCGTCGACTGTTTGGGTGTGTATAACTGTGCGATTATAGGGAACTACAGCGTCAAAATTGTCACATCTAACGCTAAACCTAACCCTAACCTTACCCTTAAACCTAACCTTACCCCTAACCCTACCCCTAAACACCAAAACCAAAAAAACATTTCCCTGCAGCATCAAAAGAAAAACCTAGATCTGGGGGACACAACCAAGCATTGGCAGCCCTGATGTCGACCTCACTGTCTTGTTTGATTCGTGACTTTTTCCGCTACTTGTTTTCAATGCGGCCAAGGGAGAGAACTCCCACTAAGCCGACCTAAGCCGTCCAGCTAGCGTCCAAAGGTGCAAGGAGAGCCCAACTATTTAACGATTGACCACATACTTAAACATTAAAAGTGTGAATAAAGTGAGAGAAAAAAATAGTTTTAGTTTATTGTGTTTATTTGTCTTGTTTTGTTACAATGAGCATTTGTGGTGTCCCGAGTTCAGTGATGCCAATTCCTGATTCATTCATTGAGTTTTTCTTGTTCTGTCTTTGGCAGGCTGCAGACATGCTGGCAGTCAGACAGAAGCGAAGGATCTACGACATTACCAATGTTCTTGAAGGCATCGGTCTTATTGAGAAGAAGTCCAAGAACAGTATACAGTGGAAGTAAGGATTGGTTGGTCTTTTTTTTGTTTTTCTGCGTATTGGCGTATTTTTAGCACTGCATTATGATGAAGCTAACAATGCCAAATATTAGCTGACCCCAATTTGGAAACACCCAGCTATCCTTATAGAGATAAAAAGACAAGCTATAAATGCAGTCTTTATACCAACCTGCGTACAATGAAATTAGATCTCCTTATGCAACAGTAAGAAAGAGACAAATACTGTTCTTTGGCCACATAATGAGAAGAGAGACATTGGAGAACATTGTGACAACTGGAAAGATTAGTGGAAAGAGGGGCAGACCTAGAGAGATGATGCTGAATGGGCTGAAACAATGGCATGGAGGGATATCGAGAGCTGTTCCAGGCAACCAGGTATCGTGATCTGTGAGAGATGCATGAGCTCCTATGCCAGTCAGCTGGGCACATCATGATGATACCAGCCTTTGTCATATTAGTGACAGACGAGGACATTGACTAAAGAACACAAGTGAATCCACCTGCAAAAATAAGATGTTTTAAAAAGGCCATAAACAAAACTTGAAAAGATCATTTGAGAAACAAAGAAATTACAAGTTATTGGAACCATGCCTATAATTAAATTTGTTGAAAAATGAAGACTGAAATGGTTTGGCCATTAACTGAGAATGAAAGCAATGATGCCAACAATGAGAATGTACAGCCTATAAGTAGAAACACCTAGAGGTAGAGGATATCAAGAAGAACATGGGTTATATGAGCCACTGATACCTTGAGACTTCACGCCACACTGTGCGGGGCAATCAAACAACTCTCTCGCTCGGAAACCAATCATCTGTTCATCTACAATGTCTAGTAGCACAGAGCAGAAAATGTACAAAATAGTTAGGCTGCAAGACATAGTAAGAGCACACTGATGTTTCAAGTAATTTGACAAGCTCGGCAAACATCATGCCAAAACATTCAAGTAATTTGACATGCTCGGCAAACGTCATGCCAAAACATTCAAGTAATTTGACAAGCTCGGCAAACATCATGCCAAAACACTACAGACATGCAACAAACAAACAACTCATTTGAAATTTTCCACCACCATCATGCCAAGAAAAATACAAGTAGTTTGAAAACCTCTATAAAACACCACACTGGAAAAAGTAATTGAACAAAACTTTACATTGCATGCTTTTTTTGTTTTTGTTTTAGACTGTATGCCTTGTTGTGTTGATTATCCTTGTGGACTGTTTTGATTTCACATTATGTGCTTTGATGATTTATGATTTCTGAATAATGCTCTGTGTGGTTCACAGTTTGCTTTGAATGAATGAACAGACTTCATTTTCAAAGGGTCACAAATTGGGCCTGCAGGCCTGTCTTACATTTTTCATACCACAGTTGTATTTGGTCGGTCAAGCATATTAGGTTTATGTAACAGTATACATAATATGAATTTCAAGTAAAAAACACGTAAGCATAAATGTTAAATGCATGCATACACTGTTACAATACATACCCATACATACCCCCACATTGGTACACTCAAGCATACACACACACCATCATATTTACACTGTTATACACATACTCTTAAATACACACACACATATTCACACACACACACTCTCTTACATACACATATGTTAGTTAATTGACAGATTGTCCTCACTGCACATTGAACACATCCATAAGCACTCGGATCCCAGCTTCAGTATTTCCCTCAACATGAGGTGACTGATAACACCAGTTCTATGTGTTTTATCTGTGTAGTGTTTATAGTTAGTGCGATGCAAAAGAAGCCCTTTTTTTTCAAGACTTTTACCGGTGCTACAGTTTCATGCGTCTGAGCTGAAACCATCTTGAAAATATGTTACATACACATATATACACAGACACACCCGCTCATAGATGCTTCTATTTAACCAGGGGCTCAGGGCCAGGAAATGGCTCCAGAGATGTCTCAGACAGACTGACCACCTTAAAAGATGACCTGGCCACTCTGCGGCAGCAGGAGTTGGAGCTGGACAAACACAAGCAGTGGGTGCAGCAGAGCATCAGGAATGTCACGGATGAGGATACAAACGTCAGGTACGGGCTGCTGCTTCTTCATCTCTAATGTCTGGCTCTATCTCTAGTTACTGTGTGTCTCCACTCTGGTGTCTGTATCCACCTCTAATTAATGTGTCTTCCTATTTCTTATGTCTGTCCCCATCTCTAATGTGTGTCTTCAACTCTACTGTCTGTCTCCAACTGATGTCCGTCTCCATCTCTAATGTCTGTCCACACCTCCAATGTCTGTCTATTTCCATCTCTAATGTCTCCACCTCTAATTAATGTCTGTCCCTAATTCTTATGTCTGTCTCTGCCTATCTTTACCCATTGAAAGTTTCTTTACCTATGGAAAATCTGCCCATTTTTACCCATAAGCATTGAGTGTCATTAGGATCCACAATGACCCCAAAGAGCTGTCACCGTATCTACCTAATCATAATGTAGACTGTTACCTAGAGGAGCAGCAGCAGTCAGTCTATCTACCTGCTGATTGATTTGTTCCTGAATCACCTGTTTATGTAACGCCCACTCCACAGTCCACCAGCAGGTGGGGGAGCCTGGCAGTGAGGCAGGTTCCAACACTGGGAGAGTTGTATCCACTAATGTGTGGGTTGATAAATCTGGTACTTTTCCCCACACAGGTTAGCCTTTGTGACACATGAAGATATTTGCCATTGTTTCAAGGGAGACACTTTGTTAGCCGTCCAGGCACCATCAGGGACACAGTTGGAGGTACCCATACCTGAAATGGTGAGTCCCACAGTGTCTGTGTGTGTTCTTGACCTGCAATGTGTTTCTGTGTTCTTGTCGCTGTTTGTTTGTGTCACAGTGAGTGTATACTTATCTCTCAGTGTCTTTGTTTGTTCTTGTCGCAGTGTCTTTATGTGTTCTTGTCACAGTGTCTTTATGTGTTCTTGCCCCACAGTGTCTGTTTCTTCTTGAGCTGCTCTGTGTTCTTGTCACAGTGTGTTTGGGCCACGGTGTCTGTGTATACTTGACTCTCAGTGTCATAGTTTGTTTTTGTCACGGTGTCTTTATGTTCTTCACTCAAAGTGTCTCTGTTTGTTCTTGACCAGCATTGTGTTTCTGTGTTCTTGTTGCAGTATTTTTGTGCTTACGGTGTCTGTGCATGCTTATTTCTCAGTGTCTTCATTTGTTCTTGTCACAGTGTCGTTGTTTTCTTGAACGGCACTGTCTTTGTGTGTTCTTGTCGCAGTGTGTTTGCCCCCAGTGACTCTTTGCTCGTTTATAAGTCTGTGTGTTTCTGTGTGTGTTTATCCCACAAGGTATACTGGTTCCAGGGTATTTTCATGTACTTGTTTCATGGTTATTTGTTCTCTTATTCCATCATGTCTACATGTGCTTAACCCTTTGCATCTGTTTTATATTTGTGCCACAGCATTTATGATGCTTGTCTTGAGTCAAGAACCGAAATCAGAGCACTCAGGTCTTTCCTGTAAGCACTCCGTCCACATCTTCAGGAGCCAGTTCCTATGGTACTAGTAGCTGTTTGATTGTTTGTCTGGTTTGTCATTCCCCTGAGTGCCAGCAAGATCTTCCGGTCACCCCCAAGTGCACCATGATGTTCTGTTTGTGTTACACTATTCACTGACTCCCAAAGGGGCCTTGACCGCATCTGACTTGCCACACATTAATTTACCAATAAGTGGTGGGGAAACAGCCAGTTGATCTCTGACGTATCATTTCCCCAAATGCCTGATTGCCCTAAAGTACCCAGAGGACGCTTACTACTCTGAAGTGATGCATGGCATGCACATCTCTGCCTTACTCAGAATGCTTTATGTGTCTTTCACAATCGTGACATGTGTGTGCACCTGGTTCTCAAGATAGCAGAAAGCTGCAGTGACTGCCTCCACCTCCATTCATAAACTAGATGTAATCATATCAGTTACCAGTTATATGTTTCTCTAAACAGGCACCTGGCAGTAAAATCAACTACCAGCTTCACTTGAAAAGCCAGAGTGGCCCCATCAACGTCCTTCTAGTAAACAAAGACACAGACCACTCAGATCCCATTATTGTGCAGGTCCCCCCTCCAGCAGCTGCAGCAGCTGTTGCTAAAGCAGATGTGAACAGCAACAGTCAGAATGAATCTCAGAATCGGAACCCCAACCCAGAGAAACATGCAGACAAAGGTGGTACAACAACTAGAAGAAAGGTATGATCTTGTTATCTGTTCCTTTATTTTGTGTAGATAGATTGGCTGCTGCCGCTTCTATGGGTGGTGATTTGTGATTAGAAAGGATTATCATCACAGCACTCTGCACAGATCCATAGGTGCTCTGATCTCCTCAAAAGCTCCACAAGTGTAAAACAACTGATGACGCCTGTTCTGTGTTGGTTAATGAAACATCTTGTCCCCTTAGTGAAATCTTAATTTCTTGCAGCTCCAGGCTGCACCCCCATGTCCATCAGTCTAGACAGGGATACGGAGTCATGTCCTTTGGTGTGATCCTCGGTACGGTAAGTGCTCTCTCTTGTTTCTTCAACTGAGAGAGCTGTGTTCTATCGAGTTCTGACAGCTTACCTGCTCTGTTAACCGAGACAAAATAATGATTGAAATGTTCTGCTTTCTTCTTGTCTTCAGTGATTGTCTTACTCCCATCTGTCACTGGTTTTGGGTTCACCCTTCTACTTTCTCCGGAGAGGTTTTTAACTAAAGTCCATGCTTTATTTCCATTCTGTCTAAGGTCTAAGTTGGAGCAAGTTTCTGTCCATTTATCTCTTTTAGCCTTATTAACTACAAGCTTTACTCTGGCACATGCTTTATTGTATTGGATCTTTGCTTCTGTTGAACGTGCAGTTTCGAGAAATATTCTTGCTTTATTCCTTTCAGATATAGTATTTTGAATTTCATGATTCCAAAAAGGTTTATATGCCTTCCGGCTGCCCCTTGGGATGGCTTTCGACGCTGCATTCAGGATTGCTTGTGTTATGTCTTCACAAAAAAGTTTCCATACAGCTGTTGTCAATTCTTCCCAGGAGGCAGTCAGATGTTTCCTGAAATAGTTTCCAGTTTGCTTTTCGGAAATTCCAACGGGTTCTCTGCTTGAAGCGTAATTTAGGGGTGGTGCTTACAGTTGTGAGTATAGGTTTGTGGTCACTTCCTATGTCGTCCAGGACTTGGGGATAGCTTGCGTCTGCTAAGTCGGATGAGCAGATGGTCAGGTCTGGTCTGCTGAGAGATAGGTGGGCCCTGTGTAACAGTGTAGGTGTAGACTCTGTGTCCTGCAGCACTAATAGGTTAGTTGTTTCACAAGTATCTTCGATGTACTTCCCTGTGCTATTGTAGTCAGGGTAACCCCAACGTGGCGAGTGTCCGTTGAAGTCACCAACAAGAGGGTTTTATGGTACTGTGTCTTGTATAGTTCTGGTATGTTGCATGTTGTCTGAGGTGGGCTGTACACGTTGTATATCGTGTATTTGCTTCCATTGTGCCAGATAGTTATTTTTTGCACATCTGTAGGGTGAGATGTCGACAGCATTGTTACATCTCCTTGTATGTCATTTCTGATATAGGTCACTATGCCCCGGCAGTCATTGCACTTACAGGCATAACTAGTATATCCAGTGAGATGCAGATCAGAGTCTTTATGCAGGGTTTCTTGTAGGGCAGCCACGTGTACCCTGTGGTTGTTTAGCAGTTTGGCAAGTTCAAGTTTCTTATTTCTTATTCCACAGATGTTCAGCTGCAGAATATTGAGCATCTGTGTATTTTTTGCTGTGCTGTCTGAGTTCTTTTTGCTCTCCCTCCCACTCTTCCTCCTCCTGGGGTGTCTGTTTTCCCTATTTATTTCAAATTTTCCAGTAGCCAATTTTTCGCACATGACAGCCTGGTTTCCCACTGTCTGGCGCGGGCCTTGATAGACGAGGCGACGACCGATCTCGTATGTATTCTTAAATTTTGACATATATATATATGGTACATATCACGAACTTGCCCACATCTCGCTAGGCATGAGATTTCGTGTCGGCTCCCATTCATGCTGTGGCTGTTCTCACAGGCTGTCCTATGTTCTAGGGGTGTCATGTTGTTATTTTTAACATTCTAAGTGTTCTGTATTCCATGTCGTGAGTGGCCAGCACGTTCTATTTTCCAGGTCGTAAGTGGCCAGCGCATTTAATTTTTCGCGTTGTAAGTTGGCTGTTCATTGCTATCACTGCGGCCTTACTTGGTGACTTAAACTTCGAGATACATTTCTTTTCCCAGACTGGCTTTTTCAGGGCCCACCCCAAAATGTCACAAATTGTCTAACCAGTGACAGTTGCACAAGAGACGTAGTTGACAGAGAAAAGAAAACTAGGTCAAGACTTAGCTGCACACAGAAGAAAAATAAAATAACCATCACTCAGTGAAGCCTCCCACGAGAAAGAGAGAAAGAGAGAGAACGCCACACCTTTGTCCCATTGGGCCTCGAAAGAATGGGAGCCAGTTTTCGGTACGGTGTGTATAGGCAGCTAAAGAGAAAGAACGCAAATACTAACCCCCACCCCCCTCCTATAACATAGGACAGCCCGTGGGCATGAATGGGAGCTGAGGCAAAATCTTGCGCCCGGTGAGATGCGGGCAAGTTTGTGATATTTTATATATATATATATATATTGGGGGGGGGGGGGTTATTTAACCATAGGCAAGAATTATTTCCAAACCATTTGTATTTATTGTAATGTGCTATTCCTGAACATATAAAAATGATTCTTGAACGTGTTTTTCTCCTAGACATTTTTAAAGTTGTTGCTAACTAGTAGTTTCTCTTGAATATTTTTGAAATTGTTCCTAAACTTGTATTTTCTCCTGAGCATTAAAAAGATTTTAGTAAACTAGTATTTGCTCCTGAACTTTAAAAAATTCCTTTTTAACTGCATTTGTTCATGAACTAGTATTTGCTCCTGAACTTTGTAAATTGTTGCTAAACTAGTATTCATCTTGAACCAGTATTTGCTTCTGAACATATGTGGCTTTTTTCCTGAACTAGTATTTGCTCCTGAATTTGTGTGGTTTGTTCCTCAACTAGTATTTGCTTCTGAACTTGTGACTTTTGTTTATTCCTGAACTGGTTTTCTTTGTTGAGCTACTACTCTTCTCTCAAACAGCGACCCACCAAAGCTCCCCTCAAGCATTCTCAGACGGCAGCCATCATAGAACCACCCACTCGCATGGCAACAAGGTCCTCGCCGAGGAAAAGCACACTAGATACTTTCTCAGGTCAACGTAAGTAAAGGCGCCAGGTAATTGGAGTCGATGTTGAAGCTTTGTTTTAAAATCTGACCTACTCCTTTTCTTTTCATTAGAATTCCCCAGCTGTAAACACTGGAGGAAAGTTCGTCCACTTATTGACTTTATTCTCGTTTCAGAACTTGAATTTTGCATGCGCATTTATTTTACATCATTCATCTTTGTTCAAAGGCTGTAAGCTCCGGCTTCTGGTTGTTCATCCAATAGTGCTTTGTGCCATGTGGCATTGGTAGTCATGTCTAACCACAACTTTCTGTCTCGTGTACTTTTAATCAACTCTGACACAGATGATCTTCCAACATCTGTTTTCTTGATCTCTCTCCTCCGCTCCAACTTTCCTGTCACGATGTATTCTAGTTTTCTTCTTCTCGTCACATGACCAGAGAATGTAGATTGTCTCTTTCTGATGTGGGCAATCAGTCTCTTCCTGAGTCAGTTTCTTTCAAGACATCTTCATTACAATTTTTATCTGTCCAGGGTGTTTTATCTGTCCAGGGTGTTTTATCTGTCCAGGGTGTTTTCATCTGTCCAGGGTGTTTTATCTGTCCAGGGTGTTTTCATCTGTAAAAGCACATCTCCGCAGCTTCCAACATTTGTTCCACTTTTCTGTTGTCCATGATTCTCTTCCGTGTATCAAGATAGGGTTTACATAGCTTTAAGGAATTCTCTTTATCGTCTCAATTGACAAAGAAAAATTGCATAACATTTTCTTCATTTGGTAAAATGCTGCCTTTGCTTGAGCTATTCGACATTTAACTTCTTTAATAAGTCTTCCATCCGATGTTATCAGGGTACATAAACCTCAAGGTATTACGGTGGTCCTATTAATACGTTTGCCGTGTGGGTTTCGGGGCCCCATTTTGGATGTGGAGGGGGATAGACTCACCCCCCCCCCCCTTTTTTTTCACCTCCTCCAACAAACGTGTCGAACAAAGCGACGATTTAGGCTTTTGAAATCAGAGCGCATCTGCCTAATAGACAAGATCTAACAGGACGTGCACGCAAACCTCAAAGTTTTTTAACACAAAGTCCAGAGGTGGACGAACAATCAGAACCTTCTGCCGCAGGTGAAAGCTAAGAAGAATAATTCTCTTCTTCGGATTTGCCGCCAGAACGTTCTAGTTGTTCGTCCACCTCTCTTCTTGTCCCAAACCTGAGTGTTGCATGCATGTCCGTTTTACAGATCGGAGGGGGGGGGGGTGTCGCACGGTAGCGCAGTCAATAAGAAGCTCGCTTTCAAATCCAGCTGCGACTCGCTGCAGCCCACGGTCGGTGTTCGAAACTGGGCAGCTCCCGGGGTTCACCCAGCCTCTAGGAAATGGTTACCAGTGTTGACACTCTGGGGTAAATGGAGGAACGTCGCTGTAGCTACAGAGTTACGTGCGAATGGCAACACAAGCGGACAATTCTTATCAGCTGTCCGTACTGGTGGCAGAGCACTTATGGTTTTTAACCGTGTGCAATGACACTGGTTCATAACCGTGTGCAATGACACTTTTTCATATCTCCCGACTTTACATTTACAGATCTGACTTGTTTATATGCAGATTGCTGGTTCCTTGCCTCTTAGGCAGAGGCACTCCAGCTTTAGAGAAAGCTCTTGCGACATGCTTTTGGGTAGGCAGTGAGTCTATTCTTGTTTTCCCCACAATGAGGCTCCTGAAACTCACACTGGGAAGGAGATTTAATAGATTATTAACATATTTACTGCAGTTTCCTATCCTCAGTTTCAGACACTTTTGACATCGTTGAATTTATATGCAACATTGTTTTCTTTAGCGGCTACATCTTCCCACTCAGCAGAGATCACGTCGTCTTCAGCAGACTTTGGCCTTGGCATGTTTAACCATGATTTGCTGTTTGATAAAGATATTGGTGAGTTATTGCTATTAGAGACAGTGTGACTCCAGTTGTTAGTTTTTGTGTACTTGAAATATTTGTCATAGCCCTGAGACTACCGCTTTTTCATATTTTGATGTGAAGTTTTACATTTCCTTCTCTGCGTTCATCCTAAGATGTAATTGGGTTGTTCCCGTTTACAGCATGGCTGGGATATTTGCACCTTTCGGCCGGCATATCCGACTTCTGCAGGCATTAGTTGACCTGGTTAGCCTTCCTGGCAGTTTCCAATTGTTATCACTATCGTGTACGGCAAAATTTTGTGTTGGTACCCTTCTCTTTCCAGATGATGGTGTTATATTGAGACAGAAAGAAAATAGTCATGATAAAAATGAAATATTGACATACTATGCTAGGTGTATCGAGGAAAGATCGACTTAGGAACGATGATATCAGGAGCAGAATTGACACAGAAACAGTGGCGCGGTGATTTATGTCACAGGCGTGAGGGGAAGTTAAGCCCAACATGATGTGTATAAGGAGATACTCCGTACGTCACTCGGGCGCCAGTCCTTTACTATCCTGGTTGTACGGAACCTCACGCAAGACCCCTACAGCACCTCCTCGTCGTGCGCCACCGATAATGTCTCAAATGAGCATTAACAGAGCTGTCAGGGGATCTCGGAGTTCGGCGGCCCCCAGAGGTGATGTGTCCTTGTGGCTCTCATCAGCCGGCCCCCAAACGCTTGGGTAAAAAATGTTATCAAAACTCATTAGGAACATGAGTAGGTAGGTTTGCCAAACGTACAGCCAAAATTACAACCCTTGGTTAAAAGATTGCGGAGTAAAGAGAACATTGTTCACTGCACATCCTCTGGTAACCCTCAGTGTCGTCGTCACCGCGCTGAGGTACACCACAACAGCAACCATCCATAGGCTGGCCATCCTTGTACATCCCCGGTTAACCCTCAGTGTCGTCGTCACCGCGCTGAGATACACCACAACAGCAACCATCCATAGGCTGGCCATCCCTGTACATCCTCGGTTAACCCTCAGTGTCGTCGTCACCGCGCTGAGGTACTCCATAACAGCAACCATCCATAGGCTGGCCATCCCTGTACATCCTCGGTTAACCCTCAGTGTCGTCGTCACCGGGCTGAGGTACTCCACAACAGCAACCATCCATAGGCTGGCCATTCATGTACATCCTCGGTTAACCCTCAGTGTCGTCGTCACCGGGCTGAGGTACTCCACAACAGCAACCATCCATCGGATGGCTAAGCCTAAATGTCCGACAAAACTAGATCATACGGATCAAAATCTGACCATCAAAATTTGTATTGAACTGAAAAAGACAATGTTCACACCCAAAGACCCCACTCGCCCGAGTGTTGGGACAAAACTGATAACGATATGCCTGATGCAGGATGTAAAATTCTGTCGGGCTAACGGCTCGTCAAAGAAATCTAACGTGCGAAGAAAAAAAAGAATGTACCTATCTGTGTGGTCACAAAAGTCCAAAACCCACGGGCTGCTCCCCGCTGACTTCCAGAGGGCGAAGCCCCTGTCGAGCAGGAGGCCTGATACGGTTGTGAGGTTAAGCAGGCATGTGCAGGACGTGACGATTCCTTGGGTGAGCCCAGAACCAGAGCGCCATGTGCCGGCTCTGCATGCATGGAAGCCTCCTTGGATGGCGGGGAATGCCCATGATCTGCCCTTGAGGGCTAACTGTTCCACAGGGGGCTGCCCCAAAGGGGTACTCCAGTGGCAATACCTGCGGCGAAGGAGACTAAGTGGACAACACACAAATCAGGCAACGTCTCGACCCACACAAAACAATGGCCACAGTCACCCTAGAAATAGGCCTGACGTCTTCCTTCGAAGTCGGAGTACAGCTGCCCATGAGGCAGGGAAATGAAAAACGGTTGTACACGCAAAAATCAGGTCCAGGTGAAAACCAAAAGTCCAAGCGGACGATTAACCGGGACCTTCCACTGGAATTCACAGCCGGTGATCGATTAAAAAAAAAAAAAGATGACACAGAAACAATGCTGAACTTTAAAGGTAGACAGATCAAATCAAATGGTTTGGCCATGTAACAAAATTGGCACCAGACAGGGCACCACAGAGAGCTTCAACGGTAACAGCGCCAGAGGTCGACAACGCAGAAATATCAGAGAAACTGAAAAGTACTTTATATGAAGTGAACAGAAGGGTCCTTTTCAGGGATCTCTTCCTCCCCTGAAAGCTGCGAGGCACTCCAGGAGTAGAGAACAGAAGAAGTGTTGCACTGAATTGTTGGGAGGTATAGGAGTCATGGAGACAACTGCTGCTTCCAGAACAACTTGCATGGCTAGCAGACGCAGCGGCCACACCTGCGGTAATCTTCTTCTTCTTCTTTGTTTATCGGCTGTGAGCTCCAGCAGAAAGTCCTGGTTGTTTGGACTGTGGTTTTGTGCCAGGGCTTTTTGCATGTACATCTGATTCACCGGCCTGTTTATGTGCAGTTAGTTGTTGCTGAAAAGGAAGTCCCTAGTTAGTTGACTCCTGTGACATGCTTGTCGGGGAGGCAGTAGGTCTCTTCTTGTTTTACCCAGAACCCACACAGGGACTGTGATAATTGTTTGAAACTCAATGAGCATGCTGCAGTGTGTGGCTTCTGTGGGCGCTGACTCATTGTCTATGATGATGTGTGTATTGAATGCTCTTAGCCCACATTGTACGATGACATAACTGGGACAAGCCGACACCGACCTAGCAGTACGATACATCAGTTTATTGACATCTTGACACTTACATCAAGAGTCCTGTCCGTGTCCTAATATACAGCTTGCACACACCACATTACTCAGACTCCCACATGCCGGTTTCTCAAACAGTCACTGACCAGAGTTCGCACAGATGAATCTGGTTATTCTCCTCGTCTTCACACAGAATTGCCTGGCTGGTCTTGGCTTCAGTGGACGTCGTCTGCTCTTCCTCTCGCCGCAATCAGTCTCACGTTATCATTCTCGATCACTCTCCCATCCTTTCACTCCGACAGTCAACACATACTAACTCAAACTAACTGGGGTCAGGTCTTATACCCAGTGTTTGTTCCACATGGCAACACGTGGTTGTTTTTGGGTTTCACGTATTTAATCCAAGTATCTGGCTTCTCTCGGTATTCTTGTTAACCTTGGGCTTTCCCCCCAACCTTCCTAATCAGAGTGAAAATACCCCCCAGTACACATGCTTCAGAAAATCATTACATGTAGTCTGCTCTGAATGGGTAGAAAGCATTCGGAAGTCGCAGTTAACCTGCATCCTCTGAATCTACACACCTGGGCATGCAGGAGTAAAAAGTTATGAAAGAGCTGGCAATTAATGCAAAAGTGCAAATGGGAAGAAATGTGGACAGAGCTACAGACTGGAAGGGGGGGGGGGGGGGTAATGTTGAATCTCTGACGCTAACATGATAGCCTGACCAAGGAGTTGAGCTTGGTGAAGCTCTATAATACCTGTATCATTCATGTCCTGCTTGCATGCATCTTTATATGACTTAGTGGAGGCTGACTTCGACATCCTCCAACTCATCTGTAATTCAACATAGAGGATGTCTTTAGGGAGATAGTCCAATCTTCAAGTATGACCCGGCCACCTGAGCCTTTGAAGATTGAGTACTGAGAAAACCGCTGTCATACTTGCTTTTTCCAGTACAACAACATTTATAGTTTGTTTAAATCACTACAAATTGCTGGAATCATGAGGGGTAATACTGCTGTGGGTGGGGCGTATATAGATAACAGAAACGCTGCATACACCAAGTAGTTGACCATGATACAGACCAAGATGATGGAGGGAGAGGTTATATCCAGGCAGACCCACAAACAATGGATATGAAAAGCAGAACCCTCATCTGGGGCACGGACTAGAATGGAGGATCCTGCCGTGTTCAGAATGATGGCATCACACATATAGGGACAGTACTGCACAACAGACAGTTTAAGTGATTAAACTTGGCGCAAAAAAGTTCAGACCACAATTATAACAGAAGCTGCTCTCAGCAGTTTTGAACACAGTCAAATTATGTTTACCTGCCAACACTTGGAGTCACCAACTGAAAAGAGAAGGGCAGTCACAGAAATGAATGGTGATGTCTGGGAGTCGCCGTGGTGTATGGACAAGACGCTCGCGCCTGCCAGATGAAAAAGTTCATGGGTTCAG